CTTCTGCCCCGCCCACCCTCAGCCCTGACCGCCCTCGGCCCCGCCCACCCTGACGGCCTGCTCTCCCACAGCCCTGGAGCAGCAGTGTGACGAGCACCGGAAGCGGGCCAAGGAGCTGAAGCACAAGTCCCAGCACCTGAGCAACGTGCTCATGACACTGACGCCCGTGTCCCTACCGCCTCCCGGGAAGCGGCCCCGGCTGGCGCGTGCCACATCAGGGCCGGCTGCCATCGCCTCCCAGGTGCTGGCGCCGTCCGCGCAGATCGCCCTCGCCCAGGGCGTGCCTGTCTCCCAGCTGGCCAGCGTGCCGCTCGGCAAAGTGGTGTCTGCCCTGCCCGCCCCCGCCCTGAGCAAGGGCCCCTTGCAGGCCCCACCCGCCAGCGCCCCGGCCTCCCCGCTGCTGGGGGGCTACACTGTACTGGCCTCCTCGGGCGCCACCTTCCCCAGTGCCGTGGAGGTGCACCCGGACGCATCGAGCCTCACAGTCCTGAGCACAGCCGCCCTGCAGGACGGCAGCACGGTGGTCAAGGTGGTGAGCCCACTGCAGCTGCTCACGCTGCCCAGCCTGGGTCCAGCCGTGCAGAACGTGGCCCAGCTGTCCCCTGGGGGCGGCACGATCGTAACAGTGCCCACAGGGGCCGTCGAGGGCACCATGGCCGCCCCAGGGCCCGAGGAGCACACAGCAACTATTGAGGTGGCCGCCGTGGCAGAGGACCACGAGCAGAAGTAGTGGACACGGTTAGGCCGCTTGGGGGCGGGCGGGCCTCCTCTCCTGAAGCACAGGTGCTGGTGTGCTCGGCGGTGGGGGTCAGAGTACCCGAGGGCTGCTGAACCAAAGAGGAGACACCAAAAGAGGAGAGAAAAAGGGGCGCACGTATGCCCACTTGTGAACTCAGTCTGCAAGGCCGAACGCCCCCTTTTTTTGGGAAATACATTTTTCCACCTGTTGCTTATTAATGCTGTTTACACGTGGGCTTCAGCAGATCCACGGGAGGTGCCAAGCAGGAGGGCAAGGGATGGCAGGTGGCAGCCAGGCCACAGAGGAGGCCCGAGCTCCCCGCGGCCCCAGCAGCACTGCCCCGCCGGGCCCGTTGGGGCCCGAGCCAGCCAGGGGAAGGGACTTTATGACACATGTCTTGGGAACAAGCCCAAGTGTGGACACTGGATCCTATGGATTTGGTTCTTCCCCTGTCTGTCGGCTGCAGCAGTGTGGTGGCGTGTCCTCCACTCTGAGGACACCTGTGGCCAGCAGGTCCCTATGTGCTCAGGGCCTGGGGCTGTGACCCCAACAGAAAGCTGTGGGTTGGGCCTCCCTCCACCCGGCACGCGGGGCGCCGCTGCACAAGAACTGTGAGTATTTTTAAGTGAATTCCTTCAGCTTTTAGGAAGAGTCAAACGAATGCATTTTCGACCAAAATAACGCTGAGTGCCTCCTCTCCCCACTCCCGCCCCCATCACTCTCGCTTCCAGTGCTGTAGGGAGCGGCCCCTGGGTGCTGCACCCACTGGTGCTGGGCGAGCTTGGCCGCTGTGGGAGGTGGTAGCTCCTGTGCCTGCCCACCGCCCTCAGCTGGGCCTCATGAACAGAGCCGATAGGTGGAGGGTTCGGGGGCACAGTGCCCGTTCAGACCTGGGGAGGCCCCGAGGACATGGTGCCATCCGGCCGGACTCCAGAGCCTGGGCCACAGGCTCCGCATGGCAGCCCTGCTCCTGAGTGGCTTGGATTCCTGCCTCCCAGCCCTCCAGCGCCTTTCCCGCTGGGCGGCGAGGCGGGGGACGCGGCACGGAGCCGTCAAGTCCGCTGAGAACCCAGGTCTCGTGCCGTCTCCAGCATGTCATGTCGTGGCCACTGGTCTTTGGGACAGGCCTGGCGCCCCATCCCACAGCTCTGCGGGGGTGGGCTGTGACAGTCGGGCTGGACACAAGGTCGTCCTGTTACCCACAGCAGTCTGGCGTTAGTTGTCATCTGTCCGTCTTCCTGTCACTTGCCCTTACGTGCACTCATCCCACCGAGCGCCCCAGACCCTCCTCAGCCTGCCTTGTGACCCAGGCCCAGCCCCCCATGTCAAGCTACTGAGGTTCTGCTTTTTGTCTTGTTTCCTGTTACATGTTTGTCATCGTTGTGAGTCAGCTGGTGTCAGGGCGATGTTGACTTGGTTGTGTGCATCCTCATTTCCTAGAACTCAGTTTTACTTGGTTTGAGAATTCTGTTACATGTGGTTTTGGGGCCCACAGGCTGATTCTCCCAGACAGCCCTTCTGCCCCACCCCTGAGGCCTCAGCACGCACCAGCTCAGACCATGTTAAAAACACCTTGCAAATAAAGATGCTTCTTACCCTGGGAACTCTCCCTTGTCAAACTCCAACAGCCTGGCTTTCTAGACCTGACATGGTTGCTAGGTTGGGTTTTAGGTGGAGCCTGGGTTAGTCTTCCTCTTTCAAGAGCCAGGTTGGGTTCCTCTTCTGCCCCTGTCCCTTAGGCTATTGAGGCACTGGAGGTTAATGTCAGGGTCAAAGGTATGCCAGAGACAAGCTTTGGGGTTGACCCCTAGTGATGTGTCCCAGCCTCAGCGCCCTGGGAGGTCCTGGCAGCATGCCCTGAGGCCCCAGGAGCAGGTTCTGTCCTGCAGGTCTGCTGGCCCCACCACCCCAAGGAACCCACCCTCTGCTGAGCAGGAGGCAGCTCTATAAGCGCTGGCAGCCTGGTCCCTGGGTCTGGGCCCCTCCCCTGTGTCTCCCCACTTCCTCCTGCGACCCCCGGAGTCCCAGCTGGTCCAGGCTGGCGAAGACCCAGGGGAGGAGCCTTTGGGATCGCATACAGAAGACGGCTTTTTAGTTAAGAGCTTTGGGTTTGTGTTACAGGGAAGAGGGATTGCACTGGGCTTTGCAGAGTGAGCCCCTCTCCTCAGGGCCTGCTCCGAGGCCGCGGGCCGGCGGTGCTCCGAGCCACTTTGTACGCCATTTTGTTAGTACCTGCTTGGCGTTTTGGTTTCAAATAAAAGCGTATTTCCTAACCGGTTGTCCGCCTCTTGCAAGGGAACAGTGTGACCTGGAGCAGGTCCTGGTGTCTGTCGTCACCTGCAGCGGCTCCTTGGACAGCAGATCTTGAAAGCGTGGGCCACTGGCGCCTCAAGACCTGCCCAGGTGTCCAGAGGTCTTCTCGGAACACTGGGTGTCACTGGCCTGCTCCACTCTTCTTCTCCCAGGGTCGTGCTCCCGTCTTGAGTGCCCCGAGACGACTCTGATGTGGGGAATTGGGCGGGGGGCGGGGGGTGGTCATGACTCTCACATCAGGGGCCGGAAACGGGTGCTGTTCTGCACCGTGTGCCTGTGCCCCCGTCTCCAGCACAGAGGCTGAGTCACTGGTGGGAGAGGGAGGGGTGGAGTCAGAATTCAAACCCGGTCCCAGAGCAGGAATGCTCTGCCAAGAGGCACCTGGGAGCGTGACAAGCTCCGAGGCCCAAGGTCCTGGGCCATCCGCAGACATGCCCTTGCCTCCGTGCCTCCCACCCCCCGTCGGAGGCCGTCCCCCAGCCCTCTTTTCTTCGCCTGCTGACCCTCCTCCGCACCCCTCCCCCTCCGTACTGTGATCTCTGTCCTCCTCTCCCGCACTGTGACTGCCTCCCCCAGCCACTTCCCTTGCCCATCTGTGCCCAGGCTTTGCCCTGCGCCTTCTCCCTTTGTCCTCCTAGGCACCCTCGCCCTCTGTCTTGTCCCCCCTGGACACCCTCACTCTCCGTCCTCTCTTCTCTGTCCCCGGACACCTCGCCTTCTCTCTGTTCACCCTGGATCCTCTTGCTCTCTGTCCTGTCCACTGGGACACCTTGCCCTTCTCTGTCCCCCTGGACACCCTTACCCACCTGGGCCATCATGCTGCCCAGCCCTGCAGCCTGGACGGCCGAGGGCACCGGCCATCATACCCAGAAAGCTCCCGCCAAGCTTGTCTCCCAGAGACCTGACCCTCGTCGCCCAGAAACCAGGAGCTCCCAGCACCTGCTTCCAGCTTTTCCAGCCACTGCACCCTCTGGCTTCTCTGCCTCGGGGTCCTCACCCTCACGCACAGCCCCCACTTGGCTCGCTGCAGCAGGGGGCGTGTCACTTCACTGGCAGGTGCAGGGGTTAGGGGTGGGGTCGCCCTCGTGGGAAGGGGGCTCAGGTGCACCAGACGAGAGCTTGTTGCATGGAGAACCCGGCAGCTGGAAAAGCTGGTGCCTGGGTGGCGGGCATACTTGGTCTCTTGGGTGGGTCCCGGGTTGGAAGCGGGGTAGTGGTGGCTGACTGCGTCTGGGCTGCTGCCCACGAGGCGGCAACCTGACTCCAGCGGGGCTGGGGTCCGGGCATCGTGTGTCCACGTCGTGTTTGGTCTCCCGCTCTCCACACACGGTCTTTTTCTCAGGGTTGTTGGACCAGATACCCCCTCCTCATCCAGCATTCTGGCTTTTGACTCTTGGCTGGAGGAAGCGGGGCAGGGAGATCCCCAGGCAGTGCCAGTGTGTGGGCCACGGGGAGTGGTTGCAACAGGAGAGTGGACAGTGGGAGGGCGGGGCCAGAGACCAGAGGGGGAGGGTGGGCACCACAGCTGATGGATCTGGGGGGCCTGGGTAGGAGGGGATGGTCTTGTGGTGGTGGTCCTGGAGGGCAGTCCTGTGGGAGGTTGGCTTGGGGGCCTAGTTCTGGGGGTGTGTGGTATGGGGGGAGGTCCTAGGGGGATGGGGGCAGGCCTGGGGGAGGTGGTCCTACAGGCCTAGTTCTGGGAGGGGGTGGTCCGGGGTGGGGGGCGCAGCACTTGGGGGCTGGCTGGCTGTGGCAGGTAAGGAAAGCGAGGGTCAAAGGTAGCTCCCAGGAGGTGGCCCAGCAACTGGGTGGACACGGCCCTCTTGGGAGACTGGAATATGGGGAAGGAGCAGGTGTGATGGGGAAGACAGGCAAGAGTTCTGTTTGGGACTCCTCAGATCCGAGGTGCCTGAGGATGTTCTGGGGGAGCGGGCGGGGGCTGGCTGGGTCCAAGTGCCCGTGCGGGGGAGGGGCACATCCTGTGTTCTGAAGTGCCGTGCACCACCCAGGAAGTGCACTGCGGGGCTTCAGAGTGCTCAGAGTACCCTACCTCACTCTCTAACCTCAGCCCACAAGGGGGACCTCTGCATGCTGGTTCCTGTGTGGCCTCTGTGAGGCTCCTGGAGGCGAGTGATCCTGGTCCCCACACCTCGGGCTGGACTGCACGTCCAGGAAGAGCAGCTGGGGGAAGAGAAGTTTCCGGAAGCAAGCCCTGGTGGGGAGGGTGTGCCAAGGGCCATCAAGCTGGAACCGGGCAGGGCAGAGGAGTGGCTTGTATGCCTGCCCCTACTCGTCCTCCACCCATGGGCCCAGGCAGGGCCAGTCTCACCACCCTCTGACCTGTCGCTTTGATCACTGAAGCGAACTGAAGGTCAAAGGGCGCGCCACCTGGACTGGGTGTCCCTGGGTGGCTGCTGACAGGAGGGCATCGCTGTCCTGAGACTGGAGGTGGGCACTCCAGCAGGTGACTGGGAACGCCCCCTCCTCTCTGGGCTGGCCAAAGGCTTCCTGGGAGGTGGCACACGCGTCCTCAGAGAAAGTGCCAGGAAACAAATTCATCACTCAGCATCTTCTGCGCCAGCCCTGGGCTCCAGCGGGGATAACTGGTCTACGGATTTAAGGATCAGAGCTGCTTGTATGCAGTAGGTGCGCAGCAAATGAGTGTGGAGGGAGATTTCCAGGTGTCAAATCAGCTCTTGGTGGCGTCTGCCCAGTTTGGAGCAGAGAGCGCTGGTCAGGGAGGGCCTGTGGTGGCCTCGCTTGACCTCCTCTCCACTCCCAGGGCTCACCCTCGGCCCTCTGACCTTAGGTCTGTGCCCTCTCCCAAATTTCCAGCCCCTCACAGAGGCCCCAGCCCACCCTGTGTTCAAGCCTGTCTCCCATCTCAGTAAAGGACACGCCACCCAGCCAGGAACTCAGCTAGAAACCCTGGAGACATCTTTGCTTCCCACTCCAGGCTGTGGGCAGCAGTGAGCCCTCCCCCCAGATGGCTCCAGTCTCTTCCCGCCATCACCATTACCCCTTGGTGAGCTCACCACCGGTCCCCATCGGGATGCCTTCCTGCTGGCCTTCCAGCTTCCTCACCACGCAGCCTAAAACCTAAGTCAGACCCTGCCACTCCCCTGTGAAGACCTCCTGGAACCTCCTGTCCTCTCTCTATCTGGATCTCAAAGCCCCCTGCCCTGTCTGAATCGTGACTCTGGAATGTGGTGACACTTCCGTATCCTGAACCAAATCAGTTTTTGTAAACGGCCGTGTGCTTGAAAATAAGTGCATCTCTGCATTTATCTGTTGAATGAATGTAGATCCAGCATGGGTAGTGTTTCACAGACATTTCTATGCCTTCACTAGTTTTTTTGGTCAGCCTGGTCTAGCAGTTTCTGAGAGGTGAGTTGCAATCTCCCTTTTAGACAGTGAATCTGTTCCGTTATCATTGTCATCCTGTCATTGTTTGCTTACGTATTTTGAGGTTAGATTATCAGGTGTATACAAGTTCATGATCGATACAGCTTCCTGGTTAGTGCTTCTTAAGTAGCTGGTAACACAGCTGTGGGCTGTGCAACTCATTTGGATGGTTGTGACAAGTGTTTTCTTAAAAATGGAAGAGTAGAGCAGAAACTTCAGAGTGCATTGTATGTAGTAAAAGCAGTGTTTTGGGAAACTTTAGTTGCAGATCCCAGTCAAAAAAGTTTGAAAGACACTGTTTAGGGGGGCTTCTGTCTTTAATTAAGCTGTGGTCCTTCTTAGTCCTATTTGTGTTTGTTCGCTTGGTTTCCTTTGCCCTAAATTCTCGTTCCATGTTAATATTGGCATGTCATCGTTTGTTTGTTTTTGGTCGGTGCGTGCCTGGCACATCGTTTTCCTTTATTTTTTGCTTTTAACCGTATTGTGTCTTTCTATTTTGATGTTTCTCTTGTGAGTAGTGAATAGGTGTATTATGTTCATCCTTTTAAAATCCAATCTGTGAATGTAACCAATGTCACTGAACAATTTGTGTAGAAATTGTTAAATGGGAACTTAAACTGCTGTGTAAACCTTTGCTGAAAACACAATAAAATATTACTTCAAAAAATCATGTATATGAGATCAAACGGTCAGCAATCACTTTCAAACAAAGATGAGAATGTAAGGGGGCAATGAAAATAGATTAATGAAAATGGAACAACTGGAATGGAAATAATGCTGTGTCCTGTCTGAATTCCTGGCCTGCAGAAAGCGTGAACATAATAAATGGTTGTTTTATATTATTGAGTTTTGGGGTAATTTATTATGCAGCGGCAGTAACTGGGACATCCTGTATCTGTGACCAGCTTCTTTCCCCCACGGCACACACGAAGGCTGGCCTTGTGGGGCCGCCTGAAGGGCTGGATCTGGGGGAAAGGAGCTGCACTGAGTGGGTTCCTCTCTGTAGGGACAACTGAGGCTGGACGCCCTTCTGCACTGTTGGGGTTTCCACGGGGCAAGACCTCACAGTTCCAGATCAGATTCTATGCAGTTTTCTCTGCACCGTGAGGGTCCGACGAGTTTGCTCAGGCTTCTGTTTTCTGCCCCCAGCCTGGGCGGGAATCCTGTTTGGTGGGTAAGGTCGGCTGTGCCCCAGGCAGTGGTAGAGCCCATGCAGGCCCTCGTCCCTGCCTTGGCAGGCACATCTGGGCTCTGGACCCTATCCCAGTGAGTGGTGGTGGTGGTGGTTGGCACCTCTGGCTCTGTCTTAGTCATCTAGTGCTGCTCCAACAGAAATACCACAAGTGGATGGTTTTAACAAAGAGAAATTTATTCTCTCACCGTCCAGTAGGCTACAAGTCCAAATTCAGGGCATCAGCTCCAAGGGAAGCTTTCTCTGTTGGCTCTGGAGTAAGGTCCTTGTGATGCATCAGTCTTCCCTTGGTCTGGGAGCATCTCAGCGCAGGAACCTCTGGTCCAAAGGATGCGCTCTGCTCCCAGCACTGCATTCTTGGTGGTGTGAGGTTCCTATGTGTCTCTGCTTGCTTCTCTCTTTTATATCTCAGAAGAGATTGCATTAAGACACTATCTA